CTTTAAAATTTCACGGTGCTCCATTTAAAGAAGAAATTTCTTTAGAATTCTATTTGGAAACCGTGACGTGAGTGATACAAGAATAGTGACTATTGCTGGCTTCAACATCTAAAACAAGCTCAAAAGCAGATTTTCCAGAAAATTTTAGAAATTTCCATAGAATTCTCTTTGGAAACTGTGAGTGATACAAGAATAGTGACTTCATTAGTGATTTCGATAACAAAAAACAAGTCCACAGAGTGGTTTTTCTAAAATATTCCATTGTGTTTAAAATTTCATTTCATCACACAACTTTAGATTCAAAATCAAGGTTCAAGAAAGATACGGGATATTCTATGGTGAATAGATGACAGCAAACCGACTGCATCCGAAATGGAGTAAGCGAGTAAGTTAATCAAATCTTGTCAGACTTCATGAAAATTTTGGACGACAAAAGAAAGACTGAAGGCCAAAGGAAAAACTCGAGGAAAAGCTGGAAGCAGAAGTTTGAAGATGGAAAGAAAAACAAGGAGAACAAGACCTGAATTGCTTGCAGCACTTCTACAACAACAAGAAGCCTAAAGACAGAAAAAGAAACAAAAAGAAGAAGACCTAAGACAGAAAGAACAGGACCGGCTTGCAGCATTTTTACAACAAGAAGATTGAAGATAGAAAGAAAAACAAGAACTGGAGTGGCTTCAGGAAAACTTGCCTAAACATGTATAATTTTTTTCAGCGGAAATGGCAACTAACGCTAGCAAGAAAATACCACACGACACACATCATAACCCAAAATTGACTAAATGGCAAAAATTGTCTAATTTGATTGGCTACTAAACAACAAGGAATGGTGGAGTTAATAAATCAGGCTTTAGAGTTTATTTAGGTACCGAATTAATTTCAAATACTAAAGTTTATTCACAAAACTGGAATTGTGAATGTTCGGGTGCGCTCGTTACATTACAAGCGCTAATAATTCCATGTTATTTCCTCCATTTTCTAATAATACGTCGATATTTCCTAATAACACCTGGATATTTCCTTGATATTTCTTGATAATACCTCGATATTTCCTAATAATACCCTGATATTTCCTAATAATAATCCGATATTTCCTAATAATACCTTATATTTCCCCATATTGCAATGTATTTTCTTATATTTCCCCGTAATTACCTGATATTTCTCCGTATTGCCACCTATTTCCCCAGGCTGTTGTCAATGATTCCTGGGTGGCTTACCCCCTAGGTACCTTATTAGTACTAAAATGATAAAATTTCATTTTTTTTTTATGTTGTATCTAAATGATCATTCAGGACTCCCCAAACTCCACTTTCATATATTATTATAAAGCACATAGTTTTTAAGTGAGTCAGTGTGAATAAGAAAATTTTTGTATAAACTTATAGTTAAATTAATTCAATAATAGTATATTGTTTACCTATGGAGAGGAAGAAAAGTTGAACATTTCCGAACAAACAAGCCGTGACTAGCAAAATGGAATGTAGCTTTTCCTACAAGGTAAAATAACTCTCGAAAAAATTAAACATACTATTATTGCGATAATGGGAAATTATTCAAAGGACATTACAGTAGAACCCCGATTTTCCGAGTCGCAATTATCCGAGCTCTGGATTAACCGAGCCAGTCTAAAGACCCAAAAATCCTGAAAATCTGAGGTACGCACGTCCATACTCCGTATTAACCGAGCTTCTAGAATATACATATATGTACATTCGGATTATCCAAGTTTCCAGTTATCTGGGTACCCTCCACGTTACCTCGGATAACTGGGGTTCTACTGTATATTTATTGCAATCAACTTGTTGAAACTTTGAAAATTCTCAAACATTAAATTGTTTTTGATCATTTTTTTAGTTTACTGCAAGGAAATTAGATTTCCTTCCAGTACAATAATATATATTTCCTATTTCCTTACAGTTACCTTCCGTTCCTTCTGGTAAAAGGGAATATTGGACTTTTCTTCAAAAAATGTCAATATGTTCGGTCTGTGTTTTTGGTAAAAGTTGTTATACTTGTTAGTAACAGACAGTAAAGTAAGTTTTTAGTCGAATATCTGGCAATATGAGTTAGTACCTATAAGTTTAAGTTTCTTGTCAGAAGAGTACCTACTTTATAATACAATAATTTCGCCTTATTTATTTTACATAACTGTCAAGATAATTGTTTGACTATTCTGGCCGAGTTCGTTTTTGTCATCTTTTTCGTCGATTTGCTCCGAAATTTTGACAGGCACGTGACTGGATCAGACAGTTTCAATTTACAAATCACATGCCTGTCAAAATTTCGGAGGAAATGGACGGAAAAGATGACAAAAACGAACTTGGCATATGTATCAAGTCAAATCAAAAGTTTACTTATTTGAAAAACTGCAAGCATCGCAAAACAAACCTATGAGAATAATTTTTATTTTAAATGCAAGTATACCTACACTTAATGATAGATTCGATACTAAAATAAACTGGAAGGGTTGAATAATGTCAAAAAAATGTATATGTACAGGGTGTCAAGTAAATAAAAAAGTCATAAAGTACCACCCCCTGTTACCTGTTCTTAATCGTACATAGAAAAAGTTACAGGGGGTGGTACTTTATAACTTTACACTCAGTATATATAATCTGAAAAATCATTGAACTTGTCTTGAAATGCAGGTTTGAATAAGTAAAATTAAAGTACCAAACTGCCCTGTGTCAACAGTAAAATAATTGACAATTATCCTTCAAAAAAAGGACATCACAAAAATAATAATAGACGAAACGACCAAAGCATTAAAAAAAAAGCATGCAATTATCATTAGGTACATCAAATTATCCTTGGAAAAATCATGTGTGCACATTAGCGATGATTATCTCAGCTCCCGCTCCCCTCCACTGGCGCAAAAGATCAATCAAAATTCAAATAATAGTCCAAGAAACGGAGATCTGAAAAGAGGGGTTACCTCAACATAATTAGAAGTTGAAATTTTTTTGGGGGGATCGGTTCATTTTAATATGCTAAACAACATATTAAGTTTGCGACCTTGTACTTCCATAGGGTTTTCAGTTAGGGGTGGTTTTTAGGGGTAATTTGCGGTTTATGGAGAACGCTGCTCAAAGGGATGGTTCAATAGTAAAAAGTTTCAAATGAATGTTGTAGCTGAAGTTTTTTGCTATAAAAAACTCAGCGACAGCACCCCTCTATCTTCTATATTTTTTTTTCTGCAGCGTCTTGAATAGTAGCATGTTTTTGTTCAAGGTCACTGAATCAACGTTTTGCCATTTTACGCGCATTTGTTGCAGCAGCGGCCGAATGCATAATCCGATTTCAATTTTTCAAACACCACATTATTTCTAATGAAATGCACTCTCCAATGCTTTTTTGTTCGAATTTTTTGCTTGAAAATTAAGCGAGCACGGACTTGTCTAATGTGCGAGGAAGTTGTAAATTGCATCGAAAACTACCCCTTTCTTGCATTCACTCTAATTTCTAAACGGGGCCAAATATTTGGTGACAGTTTTCGACAATCGGCAGCCCATTTATTCCTCTCATAATGCCTCAGCGGATTTTTTTTTCGTTAATCACTTAATGACTTATTGGCCTGAAAACGTCGCGCGGGATTTTTCAAAAATTAAAAAAAAAATAACATTGTCGCATAGCGCTGAAAATTTGGTACGATGGCCTTATTTATTGTTCTTATGAATATACTGCAATTTTAATTGCTTCACATGATATAAAATTGCAGTATAATCATGAGAACAATAAATAAAGCCATCGTACCAAATTTCAGCGCTATGCGACAATTTTAATTTTTTTTTACTTTTTGAAAAATCGCGCGCGACTTTTTCAGGCCAATAAGTCATTAAGTGATTAACGAAAAAAAAAGTCCGCTGGGGCATTATGAGAGGAATAAATGGGCTGCCGATTGTCGAAAACTGTCACCAAATATTTGGCCCCGTTTAGAAATTAGAGTGAATGCAAGAAAGGGGTAGTTTTCGATGCAATTTACAACTTCCTCGCACATTAGACAAGTCCGTGCTCGCTTAATTTTCAAGCAAAAAATTCGAACAAAAAAGCATTGGAGAGTGCATTTCATTAGAAATAATGTGGTGTTTGAAAAATTGAAATCGGATTATGCATTCGGCCGCTGCTGCAACAAATGCGCGCAAAATGACAAAACGTTGATTCAGTGACCTTGAACAAAAACATGCTACTATTCAAGACGCTGCAGAAAAACAACTATAGAAGATAGAAGGGTGCTGTCGCTGAGTTTTTTATAGCAAAAAGCTTCAGCTACAACATTGATTTGAAACTTTTTGCTATTGGATCGTCCTTTTGAGCAGCGTTCTCCATAAACTGCAAATTAACCCTAAAAACCACCCCTAACTGAAAACCCTATGGAAGTACAAGGTCGCAAACTTAATATGTAATTAAGCACATGAAAATGAACCGATCCCCCCAAAAAATGTTAACTTCTAATTATGTTGAGGTAAACTTCCTTCATTGCTTGGACTATAAAGCGAAAGGCGGGATTTAATACGGAAAGTGTAAACAATGTGGATGCACGCGTGCATAAAGAATTTCAGCTTCCGGAATTTCGAGTTTAGAGCGAAATTCCGGAATTCTTCCTCTCTTACAAAGACACGTTGGTGGTGTGGCTTTGTCTGGGGAACCATTTTGAAATTGTAATCGTCCGAGTTTTTGTTGAAAGTTTATTACAAAAGTGCCTGTTTTTTGAGTCTCCCACAAGTGGGTTGTTTTGAGGAGTTTCAAAAAACATAAGTTGATTCAAATTGTGTTTTACATTTTCAACAAAAGCCCGTCTATTTTAGTTTGTTCACGGCCATGATGCTATATCATCATGCGAACAATGTTCTATTAAAACCCAAACTTAAAAGGGTAGTTTAATGTTTAATGTGCTCAAAAAAAAAAACTTTGCACCCCAATTAAATTAATAAATTGAAAAGTTCATTGACTATACACAGTGTTGTCGCATTTATTTGGCACACACATTTACAACTTACCAATTGTCCAATTTAATCAGTTCTTCGGGCTTTTTCGCTTTGTTGTCCGCTTTCAGTTTGAGCGCCTGTGGATAGAGTTTCAGCACTTGTTCGTACTGTTCGCACGTACCGTGCGTAAAAAACTTGGCCGTCGCTTTTGCGTTCGCCATGTCAGTTGTTCGCGGACTAAAGTGCCGTGTTGAACTGACTGGGCTCCCGATGTAGAATTCAACCGATGCGACGTTGCCGACAGTTTACTGTTGTATTTCTGAATTTATTCTGTTCTAGAGGAACCTGAAATACAATAATGCATTATAAAGTTAACATAAATTATATTGGACTTATTGAACTTTGACTACCTAGGTAATGAAAGGTTTTGGTTGGGTTCCTGTTCCTACTTAAGTTTTAAAGTATTTTAAATTGACCCCCCATTAAAGATTGACGTACGAAGTACCTCTACCTGAATACTAATTGGGAATTACCCAGAAATTTAAATAATCTACCTTAGTAGGTAAAGTATTATTATACTCTCTGAACAAAAATTTGTATTTGTGTTCTGTACTTCATTTTGCCGAAAAAAAATCAACTAGAGAATTGCTAACTCAGATTTTTTTTGCCTGAATAGATTGAAGGCAAACACGGTTAGGAACGAGTTTAGTCAGAAGCTTTGCTTCCAAAAGATTTTTGAGCTTTTAGCCTCTCAGATCCATGTTTTGGTACTCATATGTCGTTTTAGAACGTCTTTCTTCGTTGTCCGACACCTAATTGCCATCCTCTTCTATCGTCGCAATCATCTAATGAGAGATTTCTTCCACTCATGGACTTTTGTATGGTCTTCTGCCTTTCCAGTTTTGGTCTGCCTCGTTTTCTTCTACCTGTTGGTTGTCAATGCAACATTTTTCTGGGCCACCTGGCATTTGGCATTCGTTCTACGTGTCCGTACAGGTAAGTTGTTTCCTTTCAATGTCCTGAACTATTGTTCCTTCTATTCCCATTTGTTGTTTTATATTGTCGTTTTCCATTCTCTCTCTTTCGTAAGATTTGCCTGGATCTTCTAATAGCATCCATTTCAACTGCTTCCACTTTTTTCTTTTGTCTGTCTGTGATTCTCCAAGTCTCGGCTCCATATAGAAGGCTGCTCTTTATCATTGTCTCGTATATATTGGATTTTCTCTTCTTTATTTCCTTGCTTCATAATATTCCATTAAGCATCCTATTACTTTTTTAGCTTTGACTATTCGCTTTTCTATTTCTTTCACGTCTGTATTCCGGTGTTGTCCAATGTGATACCTAGATACTCATATTTTGACATTGCAGAATTTCCTGACCATCGTCCACTTCCAAGCTCTCCATTGCTCTTCTTCTTCTTGCTCTTTATAATGAGATCACGCAGGATTTTACCGTATAGTCTGCTTAGTGTGCTTGTGACTGATTTGCCCCAATAGTTATTACAGTCCAGCTTATTTCCTTTTTTGTGAATGGATGATGTCAAAGCCGTTTTCCAGTCTTATGGAACAGGATGTCCATAAAGGCCCTGTCTCTAGACCTGTATAGCCGTATACAGCCCTGTCTCTAGACTTGTATAGCTGTATAGAGACTTGTCTCTAGACCTGTATAGCTGTATACAGACCTGTCTCTAGTTTCCTGGATTTGACCCGGGCCAACCCCAAATTTTTTTGACGTCATGATGTTATGAGTAGCGTCATCTAGCGTACATAGTATGAAGTTCATTGTGTCCTTTAACAGGATGCCGTAGTGGTAAATGAGAAAAATTCGTGAATCAGCACGCCGCCGCCGCCGACGTTTAATGTGGGAACAAACAGGAGTATTATGTTTCACGGTTAGCCGGTTGGCCTGGGTCAAATCCAAGAAATTTCAGATCAAAGGCGCCGCCGATTTTTCCACGGTATCGAAAAATTTCTCAGGCTCAGGTGCCCCCATTACTACTGACAGATGTTTTCAACTTCTTATGCCGGTTTTCCACCAAACCGACAAAACAAAAACAAAACTTAAACTCAGACAAAACTCTAACTTTTCCCAAACATTTTGAAGATTAGCGTGTTTTGCAACAGGTGGAGTTTTGTTTTTCGGGTTAATTTCGTGTTTTTAATGCCCGATTGCACCGTCTCTCTTAACTGAGGCTTAACGATAACTACCCCTTAAATTGACAGTTTTGCATAGGAAAATGTCACTTGAAGGAATAGTTATCATTAAGCCTCGGTTAAGAGAGACGGTGCAATCGGGCATAAAACATGTTTTAAAACACAAACTCTACAGTCTGTTTGGTGGAAAACCGGCATTAGTATACCTACATGTTTGTTTTAATTTTTTGCCTGTAAAATCCTTAAAAGCGATTTTATCGTCAAGCTTCCAATACTTCCCAGTTCCCAACTATAGTCAAGAGCTTCTCACATACTCAAGATCAATCGCGGACTTGAGTTTGAAGTTGCACAAAAAATTGGCCTATTTTTGACAGCCTGTCAAAACAGTTTTTCATAAAATTTTCCATGTTGAATTAGAAAAAATGTCATAACTTTTGCTTCTGAACCAAATATCGACTTCAAATTTGTTTTATCTTATTGGGAAAACTTCAAATTATGATTTTTGAAAGTTTGAAGGTGCACAAAAAATTGGCATATTTTTGACAGCCTGTCAAAACAATTTTTCATAAAATTTTCCAAGTTGAATTAGAAAAAAATGTCATAACTTTTGCTTCTGAACCAAATATCGACTTCAAATTTGTTTTATCTTATTGGGAAAACTTCAAATTATTATTTTTGAAAGTTTGAAAGTGCACCAAAAATTGGCCTATTTTTGACAGCCTGTCAAAACAATTTTTTCCAAGTTGAATTAGAAAAAATGTCATAACTTTGCTTCTCAACCAAATATCGACTTCAAATTTGTTTTATCTTATTGGGAAAACTTCAAATTATTATTTTTGAAAGTTTGAAAGTGCACCAAAAATTGGCCTATTTTTGACAGCCTGTCAAAACAATTTTTTCCAAGTTGAATTAGAAAAAATGTCATAACTTTGCTTCTCAACCAAATATCGACTTCAAATTTGTTTTATCTTATTGGGAAAACTTCAAATTATGATTTTTGAAAGTTTGAAGGTGCAAAAAAAATTGGCCTATTTTTAACAGCCTGTCAAAACAATTTTTCATTAAATTTTCCATGTTGAATTAAAGAAAATGTCATAACTTTTGCTTCTGAACCAAATATCGGCTTCAAATTTGTTTTATCTTATTGGGAAAACTTCAAATTATGATTTTTGAAAGGTTGAAGGTGCACAAAAAATTGGCCTATTTTTGACATCCTGTCAAAACAGTTTTTCCTAAAATTTACAAGTTGAATTAGAAAAAATGTCATAAGTTTGCTTCTGAACCAAATATCGACTTCAAATTTGTTTTATCTTATTGGGAAAACTTCAAATTATGATTTTTCGAAGTTCGAAGTTGCACAAAAAATTGGCCTATTTTTGATAGCCTGTCAAAACACTTTTTCATAAAATTTTCCAAGTTGAATTAGAAAAAATGTCATAACTTTGCTTCTGAACCAAATATCGACTTCAAATTTGTTTTATTTTATTGGGAAAACTTCAAATTATGATTTTTGAAAGTGCACAAAAAATTGGCCTATTTTTGACATCCTGTCAAAACAGTTTTTCATAAAATTTCCAAGTTGAATTAGAAAAAATGTCATAACTTTGCTTCTGAACCAAATATCGACTTCAAATTTGTTGTATCTTATTGGGAAAACTTCAAATTATGATTTTTGGAAGTTTGAAGGTGCACAAAAAATTGGCCTATTTTTGACATCCTGTCAAAACAGTTTTTCATAAAATTTTCCAAGTTGAATTAGAAAAAAATGTCATAACTTTGCTTCTGAACCAAATATCGACTTCAAATTTGTTGTATCTTATTGGGAAAACTTCAAATTATGATTTTTGAAAGTTTGAAGGTGCACAAAAAATTGGCCTATTTTTGACATCCTGTCAAAACAATTTTTCATAAAATTTTCCAAGTTGAATTAGAAAACATGTCATAACTTTTGCTTCTGAACCAAATATCGACTTCAAATTTGTTTTATCTTATTGGGAAAAATGCGTTTTATTGTTTAGTTTCTTCAATAATAACAATAATAAATTAATAAAAGGGCACTAGGAGCTGTCCTGGAAGTTGAAACTCCACCTGAAACAAAGCCAAGGTTAATTTTTGGGAAAGTTTCAAGTTTGAACGTCTATAACTTGGAAACTAGATTATTATGGAAATATTTCATTAAACCGTTTTGTAGGCAATTTAATTTTATATCAAATGGAACATGATTCATTGAAATTGATCCAGGCGTTCCAGAATTATGGCCCTTTTAATGAGACCATGTCAAACTAGAAAAGCCCCTTTTAGAAATTTTCTATTTGATTTTTTTCCAGACTTAGAAGACATCCTAGGGGAAAATGCCAAATAGCTTTTCTGCTTGTTTTGACCTCCTTTATACACTGGAATGTTTGTTTTTCCAAAATTCGAAAAATAGTATATTGTGTATTTAGGTGGAAAAGTGACACATTCTCGGCCGACGGTGTAAGTTGACGGGCGAGGCGTAGCCGAGGCCGGCAAACAACGAAGGCCGAGAATGTGCTTTTCCACCGAAATACACATACAATTTTTTCTGCGATCGGTTAAATACCTGTTAAATGTTTGTCTTTTGGTTCTAATTATTCTGCAGTACGAGAATCACTTTCCCGGCCTAGGCCGGAAAAGTGTTTTCTGTATTGTTATTCATTGATTCCTTAGCAACTATTGAAACGTAATTAAAATACCAGAATATGGAGTTTTGCGACCTGTCAACCGGTCAAAAATGCTGACATTTTCTTGTCAATCGCAGAAAAATCTATTTTCCATTTTGTGGGTTATAGAAGGGGGCCGGAAACTCCTGGAAAAACTGGAAATTGAGCGGAGAAAAGTGGATTCCGACATTTCTCTGAATGTCCTCTATGACGTAGTGAAAGAAAATCCGGGAAATTTTGACTTTGATTTTTTGGCCGCAAAAAACTTAAGGATTTTAAAAATTCCATGTAGAATATCTCTGAAATGGTAAATCGTAGAGGTAAGACCCGAAAAGCTTTTTTGTAGATCTCGACGAGTTCTACAATCTGCCCTTGGAAAGTTTTCCTCCGAG